CAAGAGGCATCTGTGATTAAACCGAACACGAGAGGCTGCTTGATTTAGAACCTAAGCACGAGAGGCTTCTGTGACTTAAACCTGCAGTCTGAGGGGCTGCGTGACTAAACCTGCAACACTGAAGGCTACGTGACTTAAACCCCAGCAACGTTGAGAGGCTGCTGTGACTTAAACCACAACACTGAAAAGGCTGCTGTGATTTTAGAACCAGCAACACTTAAAGGGGCTGCTGTGATTTAAAACAGCAACATGAGAGGTTGTACTTAAAACCCAAAACACTGAGAGGCTGCGGGGACCTAAAAACCAGCAACCTGAGAGGTGCTGGATTTAAAACCCCTGCAACACTGAAGGTACTATGACCTGGAACAAGCAACACTGAAGGCTACTATGCCCTAGAACCAGCAACACTAGAGGCGCGTGATTTAAAACCTGCAACCTGAGAGGCTCTGTACTTAAACCAGAAACACTGAAGGCTGCTGGCTTAGAATGTGCAGCCCTGAGGGGCGCTGTGACTTGAACCCGCAGCACTGAGAGGCTTCTGTACTTAAACCTGCAGCACTGAGGGCGCTGTGACTTAGAAACTGCAAACGAGAGGTGTTTTGGGACTTAAAAACCTGCGCACTGAAGGCTTCTGTGACTTAGACCTCAACCTGAAGGGTTTTGTGACTTAAACCTGCAACACTGAGAGGTACTATGACCGGGGAACCAACACTGAGGGCTACTAGACCAGAACCAGAAACACTGAGAGGTGCTGTGATTAGAACCTGCAAACGAAGGCTACTTGACTTAAGAACCAGAAACCGGGGGGGGGGGGGCTGCTGTGATTTAGAATGTCAGCAGAGGGGCGTGTGACTTAGAACCCGAGCACTGAAGGCTTCTGTGACTTAGAACCTGCAGCCGAGAGGGGGCTGTGACTTAGAAACGCAACACTGAGAGGCTGCTGTGTTTAGAACCTGCACATGAGAGGCTTCTGTGACTTAGAACCGCAACACGGAGGCTTCTGTACTTAGAACCTGAAAAAATGAGAGGCTGCTGTGATTTAAAGGTCAAAACACTGAAGGCTGCTGTGACTAGAACCTGCGCAGTGAGAGGCTGTCTGACTTACAACCTGAAACACTGAAGGTTCTGGACTTAAAAAACCTGCAACACTGAAAGGTTTGCGTGATTTAGAACCTTCACCACTGAGAGGCGCTGTGACTTAGAACCTAAACACGGGGGCTGCTGTGACTTAGAACCTGCACCAGAGAGGCTTCTGTGACTAGAACCTGAAACACTGAGAGGCTGCTGTGACTTAAAAACCTGACCAATGAGAGGCTTCTGTGCTTAGAACCTGCAACACTGAGGGGGCTCTGTGACTTAGAACCTGCAACCTGAGAGGCTTCTGTGATTAGAACCTGCAACACTGAGAGGCTGCTGTACTTAGAACCTGCACCACTGGAGGCTTCTGTGACTTAGAACCTGCAGCAGTTAGAGGCTTCTGTACTTAAACCTGCCCACGGAAGGCTTCTGTGACTTAAAACCTGCAGCATTTTAGAGGCGTTTACTTAGAACCTCAACACTGAGAGGTTTCTTATTAGAACCGAAACACTGAGAGGTGTGTTTTAAAACCGAAGCACTGAGAGGCTTCTTGACTTGAACCTCTTTACTGAAGGTGCTGTGACTTGAACCTGCAACACTGAGAGGCTCTGTGACTTAAAACCCAGAAACGTTGAGGGGCTGCGGGGATTTAGAACCACAACACTGGAGGCCCTGCTTGACTTAAACCCAGAAACACTGAGAGGCGCTGTGACTTAGAACCGCAACACGAAGGCTACTGTGACTTAAAACACCCCAAACCACGAAGGCTCTTACCAAACCACAACACTAAGGGCCCTGTGACTTGAACCTGCCCTGAAGGGGCTACGACCGGGAAAAAAAAGAACAACGAGAGGTACAAATGACCTATGAACCACAACACTGAGGGGCTGCGGGCTTAGGGAACCTGCCCAACTGGAGAGGCTACTGGACTTAGAACCCAACAAAAGGGCTGCGTGATTTAGAATGTGCGCCTGAGAGGTGCTGTGACTTAGAACCCCAGCACGAGAGGCTTCTGTGACTTAGAACCGCAGCACTGAGGGTGCTGTGATTTAAAAAACGCAACACGAAGGCGCTGTGACTTAAACCTGAAACACTGAGAGGGCTTCTGTGACTTAGAACCGCCCACTGAGGGGCTTCTGTAAACTTAGAACCTGCAACACTGAGAGGCTGTTTGTATTGGGTTTGAAACACTGGAGGTTTCTTTGACTGAGAACCTGAGCTTGAGGGGCGCTTGATTTAAAACCCCTGCAACACTGAGAGGCTTCTGTGACTTAGAACCTGCAACACTGAAAGGTTTGCTGTGACTTAGAACCTTCCCCACTGAGAGGCTGCTGTGACTTAAACCTGCAACACTGGGGGGTGGTGATTTTAGAACCTGCACCACTAGAGGCTTCTGTGATTTAAACCTGCAACACTAGGCTGCTGTGACTTAGAACCGCACCATGAGAGGCTTCTGTGATTAGAACCTGCAACACTGAGACCTTCTGTGACTTAGAACCCAACACTGAGAGGCTGCTGTGATTTTAAACCCGCACCACTGAGAGGTTTCGTGTTTTTGAACCGCAGCAGTTAAGGCTTCGTGACTTAAAAACCTGAAACCACTGAAGGCTTCTGTGATTAGAACCTGCAGCAGTTGAGGCTCTGGATTTAGAACCTGAAAAACATGAAGGCTTCTGTGACTTTAAGAACCTGCAACACTGAGAGGCTGCTGTGACTTAGAACCTGAACATAGAGGCTTCTGTGACTTAAAACCTGAAGCACTGAGAGGTTCTGTATTTAGAACCTGAAAAACCTGAAGGCTGCGGGGGATTTAGAAGCTGCACCACTGAGAGGTTTCGGTGACTTAGAACCTGCAGCAGTTAAGGGGCTGCTGTGACTTAGAACCTAAGCACTGAGAGGCTTCTGTGACTTAAACCTGAAGCCGAGGGCGCTGTGATTAGAACCTCAGCAGTGAGAGGCTGCTGTGACTTAAACCTGCAGCATAAAGCTTCTGTGACTTAGAACCTGCAGCAGTGAGGGGGTTTCTTGACTTAGAACCGACCACTGAGATTTCTGTGACTTAAAACCCTGAGCAGTGAAAGGCTGCTGTACTTAGCGTGCAACACTGAGAGCGCTGTAAATTAAAAACCCAGTATGAGAGTTTCTGTGACCAGACGTGCCCCAGTGAGAGCTGCGTGACTTAGAACCTGAAGCCTGAGAGGCTTCTTTTTTAGAACCTGCACATGAGAGGCTTCTGGACTTAGAACCTTCAGCATGAGAGGTGCTTGTGATTAAATTGCGCACTGGAGGCTCGTACTTAAACCTGAACACTGAGAGGCTTCTGGAGTTAAACCGCAGCCAAAGGGGCTTCTGTGACTTAAACCCTTTTCCGCAGTGAGAGGTGCTTTTACTTAGAACCTGCAGCAGTGTAAAGGCTTCTGTGTTTTAGAACCTGCACCCTGAGAGGCTTCTGTGACTTAGAACCTCAGCAGGAAAAAGGTGCTGTGACTTAGAACGGGAAAAACACTGAGGGGCTGCTTTTTACTTAAAACCTGCGTACTGAGAGGCTTCTGTGACTCAAAACGTGCAGCATGAGGGGCTGCGTGATTTAAACTGAAGCCTGAGGGGGCTTTGTTTTAAACCCTGCACATTGAGAGGTTTTCTGTGACTTAGAACCTTCAGCATAAAGGGGCTGCTGTGACTTGAACCAGCAGCAGTGAAGGCTGCTGTGACTTAGAACCTGCAGCAGTGAGGGCCCCTGTGACTTAGAACCTGCGCACTGAAAAGGTTTCTGTAAATTAGAACCTCCCACACTAAAAGGGGGCTGCTGTGATTTAAAAACCTGCAGGCACGAGGGGCTGCTGTGACTTAGAACCGCACACTGAAGGGCTGCTGGGGTTTTAAAACCTCAGCACTGAGGGGCGCTGTCTTAGAACCTGCAGCACTGAGAGGCGCTGTGACTTGAACCTGCAAAACTAGGGGCTGCTGTGACTTAGAACCCCCCTGAAACTAAAGGCGCGGATTTTAGAACCTGCTGCACTAGAGGCGGGTTGCCCTTAGAACCTCAGATTTATTGTGGGGAAAAATTTTACATATATAATTTTAAGCTTTTACAACCCAATATCCTTTTTTTTCCCCTGCAGGGGAATTTTACTACATTTTTTAATAAAAAAATTCATTCAAAAAAAATTTTTTTTCGTTTAAAGGGTGCAAGTTTGGGGTCACGGGAAGACAACTTTTCCCTTTTTCCTTAAAAAAAACCAAAACTTAAATTTAAAAAACACAGTTTTTTAAAAAACCGGGGTAAAATTTTTGGCTGCAAATTTTTAAAAAAATTTTTAAACAAATTTAAAGGTCAATTATTACTTTAAGTTTAGCTGAAAAAATTAGAAATTGGGCCTTATTACAATTTGTAAAACATTTTGGTTTTTTTTCCGGGAAAAATTGGCAGGAGGCTCCTCCACTGATCACAGTTTTTCCTGGATAGTGGCAGGAGGCTTCTCCACTGATCACAGTTTTTCCTGGATAGTGGCAGGAGGCTCCTCCACTGATCACAATTTTTCCTGGATAGTGGCAGGAGGCTCCTCCACTGATCACAATTTTTCCTGGATAGTGGCAGGAGGCTTCTCCACTGATCACAGTTTTTCCTGGATAGTGGCAGGAGGCTCCTCCACTGATCACAATTTTTCCTGGATAGTGGCAGGAGGCTTCTCCACTGATCACAGTTTTTCCTGGATAGTGGCAGGAGGCTTCTCCACTGATCACAGTTTTTCCTGGATAGTGGCAGGAGGCTCCTCCACTGATCACAATTTTTCCTGGATAGTGGCCTTAGGCTCCTCCACTGATCACAGTTTTTCCTGGATAATGGCAGGAGGCTTCTCCACTGATCACAGTTTTGGGTATAACAACCGTATTAAATTTATGGTAGTTCTTATTATTTTCAGAATCAAGAATCCGTGTGCAGGGTGCGCCCCTCCATACTCCTTCAGGAATGACCTTCCGCTTAACAACAACGACTCACTCTTCACGGTCAGCACCATTTCTCTACCACCTTAAGAAACTTAACAATGAAACCTTAAAGCTCTACACAAAAGCACAAATATTTTAAAACGAGTTTACAAAGGTGTTGTAGTACATACATACACAGGAAAATATATTACACACAAAGGTCTTGCAAAAAAGTTACTCAAAAAACAATGCATTCAAAAATTATCATCAAAAAAGGAATATCACACACAATTAGCGGTATGAGATAGGAAAAGATCTGATCCCACCGTTTTTATATGGTGCTGAAAGTCAGTCATCACATCATATGATCCGTTTTTATTTTTTTTACGGAGTGGTCTGGTGAGGCAGCGGAAGGCCTCAAATCTTATGACCAATAGCTCCGTTAAGAGGGTCATCATATGGCTAAGGCCTGCATCAAGAAAAATTCTCTCTCACACACACACACACACACACACACACACACACACACACACACACACACACACACACACACACACACACACAGAAGAATGGAACATGGAACAGACCCCAGAATCAGAGGGGATGGGTCAACAGAGGAAAAAGTTCTGGAAATACCCCTAAACTCAACAGAAAATCTTGAGGTAGTATCTCCATAAGCGAAACATGAGAGCTGATATTATAGCTGTTACAGAAATAAAACTCGGAAATATCAACTAATGTGATATTCCCTGAGGGATACTGAAAAGTAAGAAAGGAAAGGGAAAATAAAGAGAAGGGGTGGCAGATAGGGTTAGACACTTCAGAAGTTTTGAGGAAGTAGGAAACCTAGAAAAAGAGGATTTCAGGGGTTATAAAGCAGGTAAAGTAATTGTCCGAGATAAAAACAATCGTGTGAGTGATACAAAATTCAACTTCATACCGTAGGCCAAGGGAAGAATATGATCATGTTAGAGACAGTGGCATAGTTGGCAAGATGAAGCAAGAGTAAACTTCTAGTATTAGCAGATTTCAACTATGAAGAGACTGACCGGGGAAACTAGGGCCTACGTGAAAGACCAGCCACATGGAGGACAAAACTTTTGAAAGTAGTAATGAAGAACTTTCTGAGACATCTGAAGAATGAAGGGAGATGATGAACCAGCAAAACTCCACCTGATATTTACATAAACGAATACGACATAACTGAAATTAATTGCAAGGAACAGTTAGATGCCAACGATCGTGTGGTACCGAGTTCTGAGTATCTGGTAAAGATAGGAAAGAAGAAAGAAATAGATAAAGTGAGTAACAGAAGAAGGCACTATGATGGAATGAGAAATTTTCTGACTGAATTACAATGAGAAAGGGAATTGAAGGGCGAAGCTGTACAAGAAAGTGTAAAGGTTATATAGTCAAAGTGACAAGAGGCAACGAAAATATTCTTATCAAACTTGAAGAAAAGAAACGAGAAAGAGAAAAGAGAAAGCCCATTGCTCAGTCAGGAAGCAAGGAGACCAAGGGGAGGTGCAAAGCAAACAGCAGACAACCCAGGAAGCAAGGAGACCAAGGGGAGGTGCAGAGCAAACAGCAGACAACCCAGGAAGCAAGGAGACCAAGGGGAGGTGCAGAGCAAACAGCAGACAACCCCAGGAAGCAAGGAGACCAAGGGGAGGTGCAAAGCAAACAGCAGACAACCCAGGAAGCAAGGAGACCAAGGGGAGGTGCAGAGCAAACAGCAGACAACCCCAGGAAGCAAGGAGACCAAGGGGAGGTGCAGAGCAAACAGCAGACAACCCCAGGAAGCAAGGAGACCAAGGGGAGGTGCAGAGCAAACAACAGACAACGCAGGAAGCTGCAGTAGAGATAAAAACAAAGATTCAAGAGTCAAGAGGATGAATGGAAGCCTCGAGACTCCTTGAAAATGATATAACGTCAAAAGGCAAAACTGGAACCTATGTTACTCCACAGCCACATGCTCTATGTTACTCCACAGCCACATGCTCTATGTTACTCCACAGCCACATGCTCTATGTTACTCCACAGCCACATGCTCTATGTTACTCCACAGCCACATGCTCTATGTTAATCCACAGCCACATGCTCTATGTTACTCCACAGCCACATGCTTTATGTTACTCCACAGCCACATGCTCTATGTTACTCCACAGCCACATGCTTTATGTTACTCCACAGCCACATACTCTATGTTACTCCACAGCCACATGCTCTATGTTACTCCACAGCCACATGCTTTATGTTACTCCACAGCCACATGCTCTATGTTACTCCACAGCCACATGCTTTATGTTACTCCACAGCCACATACTCTATGTTACTCCACAGCCACATGCTCTATGTTACTCCACAGCCACATGCTCTATGTTACTCCACAGCCACATGCTCTATGTTACTCCACAGCCACATGCTCTATGTTACTCCACAGCCACATGCTTTATGTTACTCCACAGCCACATGCTCTATGTTACTCCACAGCCACATGCTTTATGTTACTCCACAGCCACATACTCTATGTTACTCCACAGCCACATGCTCTATGTTACTCCACAGCCTCATACTGTATGTTACTCCACAGTCACATACTGTATGTTACTCCACAGCCACATACTCTATGTGAGAGAGAGTGACAGACAGTGACGGAGAGTGACAGAGAGTGACGGAGAATGACGGAGAGTGGCAAAGAGGTATACGAACAGCATGTTAAAACAAATTCAAAGAAATCTTCACAGAAAAGAGTTAATAGATGATGAGTAAGACACCTGCAATACTCGGAGTCGTTACTGACACAACGTTTCGCCTGCTCTGCGGAATTCATCAGTCGAATTCAGAGATGACACTCCTGGAGTCATCATCATAGGTGCAAGATGATGGGCTTCTTAACCTCGAGACTGATCATCTTGCAGCTAGGGTGATAGACTGAGTGCATCAAACTACCCCTCCGTTTATCTGTTTCGTCTTCCACCAACACTAGCGTCTCCAGGAATGTAATTCATCTGTTTACCCGACTGATGAAGGCTGCAGCGCTGGCCGAACTTTCCACCATTAAACATTCCAAGTGTTGCACATGTGCTTCACTTATCAACTTGCTGGTATTATATACCATTTATAAAACGAAAGTTTAGACCTACTAGAAGGCACTGTGTTTACTTAGACCAGATCAACAAGTGCTAGCAACAAGCATCAGCACAACAACAAAAGATGTGCTGAGACTAACAAGTGACCTTGTAATAAAAGCAGTGGGATCAGATAATTTACCTCCATGGGTGCTTATAGAGCATAACCAGTGTGTGTCTCAGTGGTGAAGGTGCACAGCTGATCTCTGCAATCAAGACAAGTTTGAGATAAATTGGAAAAAAGGGAAAACGTGGTTCCTCACCCAAAGTAAAGTTGAGGAAACAAGCAGTGAATTACAGGTCAGTGTCTCAGTGCTCATACTGGTAAAATTTCTAGAGAAAATAGTCAGGAAAAGGACACACACTACTACTGCTACTACTGATAATAATATTACTCCCACTACTACTACTACTGTTACTACTTATACTACTGCTACTACTACTATTATTATTACTACACACACACACACACTACTACTAGTACTGCTAATAATATTACTCCCACTATTACTAATGCTACTATTAACTACTACTGCTGCTGATACTACTACTATTATTGCTACACACACACTTACTACTGCTTCCCATACTGCTGCTACTTCTACTATTACTAAACACACACATACAGACAGAGTATAGGCTAGGTGGCCAAAGACTGCAAACTTCACTCAAGGAAAAGGATCCTGGGGTGAGTATAACATCGAGCACATCTAAGGGTCACATCAAACACACAACTGCAGCAACTCATGGGCGCCGGGCAAACCTATGAATAGCGTTCCGACACCTCAGTAAGCATCATTCAAGACTCTGTACACCTTGTATGTCAGGCCCATATTGGAGTACGCAGCACCAGTTTGGAACCCACACCTGGTCAAGCAGGTCAAGAAATTAGAAAAAGCGTAAAGGTTTGCAACAAGACTAGTCTCAGAGCTAAGGGGAATGCCCTACGAAGAAAGGCTAAGGGAAATCGGCCTGACGACACTGGACGATAGGAGGGTTAAGGGAGACATGATAATGACATATAAAATACGGCGAGGAATTGACAAGGTGGACAGAGACAGGATGTTCTAGAGATGGGACACAGCAACAAGGGGTCACAATTGGAACTTGAAAACTCAGATGAGTCAAAGGGATGTTAGGAAGAATTTCTTCAGTCATCGAGTTGTCAGGAAGTGGAATAGTCTGGAAAGTGACGTAGTGGAGGCAGGAACCATACATAGTTTTAAGACGAGGTTTGATAAAGCTCATGGAGCAGGGAGTGAGTGGACCTAGTAGCAATAAGTGAAGAGGAGAGGCCAGGAGCTATGAATCGACCCCTCCAACCACAATTAGGTGAGTACACACTAAAAACTATTAGTCGTCTCAAAGTCACAAAAAAAAAAAAACAGTCAGAATATAACTTAGCAAAAAAACATGTTTTAAATTAAGTTTATGTTACCGTTACAGGAGAAGGTAAGGCAGGCGCCGATCTCAGGAAACATGGATTCTCCTGAAGGTGGCTTCGACGCTCTCATGCAAGTGATGGTTTGCAAGAAAGAGATCGGCTGGAGGGATCAGGCTCGTCGTATAGTAATCTTCTCCACTGATGCCAAGTTCCACCACGCTGGTGACGGCAGGGTGGGTACTGTCATGTTGTTATACCATACTGGTGACGGCAGGGTGGCTACTGTCATGTTGTTATACCATACTGGTGACGGCAGGGTGGGTACTGTCATGTTGTTATACTATACTGGTGACGGCAGGGTGGGTCTGTCATGTTGTTATACTATACTGGTGACGGCAGGGTGGTACTACCATATTATGCCATACTGGGGACGGCAGGGTGGTACTACCATGTTATACCATACTGGGGACGGCAGGGTGGTACTACCATGTTATGCCATACTGGGGACGGCAGGTTGGTACTACCATGTTATACCATACTGGGGACGGCAGGGTGGTACTACCATGTTATACCATACTGGGGACGGCAGGGTGGTACTACCATGTTATGCCATACTGAGGAGGGCAGGGTGGTACTACCATGTTATGCCATACTGGGGAGGGCAGGGTGGTACTACCATGTTATGCCATACTGGGGAGGGCAGGGTGGTACTACCATGTTATGCCATACTGGGGACGGCAGGGTGGTACTATCATGTTATGCCATACTGGGGAGAGCAGGGTGGTACTACCATGTTATGCCATACTGGGGAAAGCAGGGTGGTACTACCATGTTATGCCATACTGGGGAGCACAGGGTGGTACTACCACGTTATGCCATACTGGGGACGGCAGGGTGGTACTACCATGTTATGCCATACTGGGGACGGCAGGGTGGTACTACCATGTTATGCCATACTGGGGAGGGCAGGGTGGTACTACCATGTTATGCCATACTGGGGAGGGCAGGGTGGTACTACCATGTTATGCCATACTGGGGAGGGCAGGGTGGTACTACCATGTTATGCCATACTGGGGAGGACAGGGTGGTACTACCACGTTATGCCATACTGGGGACGGCAGGGTGGTACTACCATGTTATGCCATACTGGGGAGGGCAGGGTGGTACTACCATGTTATGCCATACTGGGGAGGGCAGGGTGGTACTACCATGTTATGCCATACTGGGGACGGCAGGGTGGTACTACCATGTTATGCCATACTGGGGACGGCAGGGTGGTACTACCATGTTATGCCATACTGGGGACGGCAGGGTGGTACTACCATGTTATGCCATACTGAGGAGGGCAGGGTGGTACTACCATGTTATGCCATACTGGGGAGGGCAGGGTGGTACTACCATGTTATGCCATACTGGGGAGGGCAGGGTGGTACTACCATGTTATGCCATACTGGGGACGGCAGGGTGGTACTATCATGTTATGCCATACTGGGGAGAGCAGGGTGGTACTACCATGTTATGCCATACTGGGGAAAGCAGGGTGGTACTACCATGTTATGCCATACTGGGGAGCACAGGGTGGTACTACCACGTTATGCCATACTGGGGACGGCAGGGTGGTACTACCATGTTATGCCATACTGGGGACGGCAGGGTGGTACTACCATGTTATGCCATACTGGGGAGGGCAGGGTGGTACTACCATGTTATGCCATACTGGGGAGGGCAGGGTGGTACTACCATGTTATGCCATACTGGGGAGGGCAGGGTGGTACTACCATGTTATGCCATACTGGGGAGGACAGGGTGGTACTACCACGTTATGCCATACTGGGGACGGCAGGGTGGTACTACCATGTTATGCCATACTGGGGAGGGCAGGGTGGTACTACCATGTTATGCCATACTGGGGAGGGCAGGGTGGTACTACCATGTTATGCCATACTGGGGACGGCAGGGTGGTACTACCATGTTATGCCATACTGGGGAGGGCAGGGTGGTACTACCATGTTATGCCATACTGGGGAGGGCAGGGTGGTACTACCATGTTATGCCATACTGGGGAGGGCAGGGTGGTACTAACCATGTTATGCCATACTGGGGAGGACAGGGTGGTACTACCACGTTATGCCATACTGGGGACGGCAGGGTGGTACTACCATGTTATGCCATACTGGGGAGGGCAGGGTGGTACTACCATGTTATGCCATACTGGGGAGGGCAGGGTGGTACTACCATGTTATGCCATACTGGGGAGGGCAGGGTGGTACTACCATGTTATGCCATACTGGGGAGGGCAGGGTGGTACTACCATGTTATGCCATACTAGGGAGGGCAGGGTGGTACTACCATGTTATGCCATACTGGGGAGGGCAGGGTGGTACTACCATGTTATGCCATACTGGGGAGGGCAGGGTGGTACTACCATGTTATGCCATACTAGGGAGGGCAGGGTGGTACTACCATGTTATGCCATACTGGGACGGCAGGGTGGTACTACCATGTTATGCCATACTGGGGAGGGCAGGGTGGTACTACCATGTTATGCCATACTGGGGAGGGCAGGGTGGTACTGCCATGTTATGCCATACTGGGGAGGGCAGGGTGGTACTATTATGTTATGCCATACTGGGGAGGGCAGGGTGGTACTACCATGTTATGCCATACTGGGGAGGGCAAGGTGGTACTACCATGTTATGCCATACTGGGGAGGGCAGGGTGGTACTACCATGTTATCCCATACTGGGGAGGGCAGGGTGGTACTACCATGTTATGCCATACTGGGGAGGGCAGGGTGGTACTACCATGCTGTGCCATACTGGGGAGGGCAGGGTGGTACTACCATGTTATGCCATACTGGGGAGGGCAGGGTGGTACTACCATGTTATGCCATACTGGGGAGGGCAGAGTGGTACTACCATGTTATGCCATACTGGGGAGGGCAGGGTGGTACTACCATGTTATGCCATACTCGGGAGGGCAGGGTGGTACTACCATGTTATGCCATACTGGGGAGGGCAGGGTGGTACTACCATGTTATGCCATACTGGGGAGGGCAGGGTGGTACTACCATGTTATGCCATACTGGGGAGGGCAGGGTGGTACTACCATATTATGCCATACTGGGGAGGGCAGGGTGGTACTACCATGTTATGCCATACTGGGGAGGGCAGGGTGGTACTACCATATTATGCCATACTGGGGAGGGCAGGGTGGTACTACCATGTTATGCCATACTGGGGAGGGCAGGGTGGTACTACCATGTTATGCCATACTGGGGAGGGCAGGGTGGGCACTGAGAGACCGTGTTTGGAGTGTCATAAACCCAGTATGAATATTTCAAGTGTATAGAAAGGAAGGAAAAATGAAGAAAAGTAGAATTGAAGGGAGGAAGGGAAGAAGGACTTGCGATTAGTGTTTAGAAAGGTGACTGGTGACTAGCGTTTTTGATTGGTGACTGATGTTTAGACTGGAGACTTGTACTTAGAATGGTGAGTTATGTTTAGACTGGCGACTGGTGTTTTAATTGGAGACTGTTCTTTAGACTTGCGGCTAGTGTTTATAATGATGATTGATGTTTAGACTGGTGAGTGATGCATAGACTGTTGACTGGTATTTAGAGTGGTGGTTCATCTTTTGACTGGTGACTTGTGTTTAGACTGGTGACTGGTGTTTAGAGTTGTGATTGGTGTTTAGAATGGCTTTCTGATGATTAGACTCATGTCTGGTGTTTACAATGGTAACTAACTTTCAGACTAGTGACTGGTACTTAGACTGATGACTGGTATTTAGACTGGTGACTAGTGCTCAGAATAGTGACTACTAAAAACTGGGAATGATAAGTACTAGAGTGCGATAGGAGGAAGATTAGGATAGCTCCAATTCCTAGGATCAGGAGCCTTTCACCAGCATCAGGGGACTGACACTATGGGATAGATGGTGTTTAAGTAATCATGTTGTGGGACAGTAGAAGTCTGGATAGTCAAGCTGAGGATGGTATTTGGATAGTCGTGCTATGGCTAGTCAGTGTCTGGAGCATACTGAGGAGAGGTAGGAATGATTAGTAGATTTTTTGGAGTCATACGTAGAGAAAGTATATTTATAGACATGCTTGAAGAAAGTAGATTTTTGAAGTCGTACTTAGAGAAAGTAGTTTTTGAGTCATTCTTAGAGAAAGTAAATTTTTGGAGCTATACTTAGAGAAAGTAGGTTTTTTTGGAGTTTGGAATCTTCGAGAAAGCAATTTTTTTGAGTTATACTTAAAGCAAATACATTTTTTGAGTTATATTTAGGGAAAATAATCTTTTTGAGTAATACTTAGGGAAAGTAGATTTTTATAGTCATAAAGCATTTTTTGTTCCTTATAGAAAGTATTTTTTGTGTCCTACTCAGAGAAAGTATGCTTCTGGTGTCCTACTCAGAGAAAGTATGCTTCTGGTGTCCTACTCAGAGAAAGTATGCTTCTGGTGTCCTACTCAGAGAAAGTATGCTTTTGGTGTCCTACTCAGAGAAAGTATGCTTCTGGTGTCATACTCAGAGAAAGTATGCTTCTGGTGTCATACTCAGAGAAAGTATGCTTCTGGTGTCATACTCAGAGAAAGTATGCTTCTGGTGTCCTACTCAGAGAAAGTATGCTTCTGGTGTCCTACTCAGAGAAAGTATGCTTCTGGTGTCCTACTCAGAGAAAGTATGCTTCTGGTGTCCTACTCAGAGATAGTATGCTTCTGGTGTCCTACTCAGAGAAAGTATGCTTCTGGTGTCCTACTCAGAGAAAGTATGCTTCTGGTGTCCTACTCAGAGAAAGTATGCTTCTGGTGTCCTACTCAGAGATAGTATGCTTCTGGTGTCCTACTCAGAGATAGTATGCTTCTGGTGTCCTACTCAGAGATAGTATGCTTCTGGTGCCATACTCAGAGAAAGTATGCTTCTGGTGTCCTACTCAGAGAAAGTATGCTTCTGGTGTCATACTCAGAGAAAGTATGCTTCTGGTGTCCTACTCAGAGAAAGTATGCTTCTGGTGTCATACTCAGAGAAAGTATGCTTCTGGTGTCCTACTCAGAGATAGTATGCTTCTGGTGTCATACTCAGAGAAAGTATGCTTCTGGTGCCATACTCAGAGAAAGTATGCTTCTGGTGTCCTACTCAGAGAAAGTATGCTTCTGGTGTCCTACTCAGAGAAAGTATGCTTCTGGTGTCATACTCAGAGAAAGTATGCTTCTGGTGCCATACTCAG